GACTTGGGAGGGTCCGTACCAGTCCCTGCGCCCTTGTGCTCTCTCTAGTTAGTGCACGACAAGAAGAGGGTGGAAGAAGACCTCTGGCAGAGCCTGCCGTACCTGTGGGACACTCAAGCCACCTTGCCAGAGGTGGCCATCAGGTTCATCGGTGGGCCACAGTCCCCAGGGTCCCTTTTCTGCCAGCCTGGCCCCAGTCCCCACCACCGCATTGGCAGCAAGGGGCAGCCCTGTGGCTGCCGGAGGCCCGGCTGCCCCGAGGAGGGCCCACCACACAGGTGGGCTCACCGAGAGCCTTGCTCAGTCCTACCACCCTTGGCTACTATCCGTCTCTGGGGTCAGGCCTGCTGAGGGGGAGGAGGGTGTGCAGCCAAGCTGGCAGGGCTGCTGGGAGCGTGCTGGGGAGCAGAACTCTGACAGGAGCTCTGTGCCTAGGGCTTGCCGCATGGCACCTGAGGAACCTGAGCAAGCAGAAGCTGTGCGATATCTGCAACGGTGAGTAGGGGCAGTGCTATGCTGGCTCGGGCTGGTGGGGCAGGGGACAGAGCCTGGGCAGGGCGCCATGGTCTGGAGGGGTCTCCTGGGGGTCTCTGCAGGCAGCGGGGGTTCCTGTCTGCTCTGCTTCCTTCTCTTGCAGCCCTCCTGCCCTTGGGGAAAGACCCTGAACTCTCGGTCAGAACTCTGGCAGCTGAGGCGGTCTTTGTCCTGACAAGAGAGATGCCAAGACCAGGATGGAGCCTGCGGTCACTGTGCTGCTGGCCCTGGTGAGCCCTGAAGAAGTGAAATCCTCCTCTGGAAAACAGCTGTATTTTAACAAATTATTTTTTTTTAATAAAGCTGGAACAACAAGCCCAGTCCCATGCTGTCCTTCCCACGGAGAACACCCAGAGTGTGCTGAGCAGACAGTGTCATTCCTGGCTTGTGCTGCTGCCTGCAGGACAGCACACCTGGACCCAGGGTGTCCTTGCAGCAAAGCCCCAGCTGCCCCGCTAGACCACAAAACCCGGAGGGGAGGCGGAGAGAAGCTTTAGCCCAGCCTGCCCCTCCTGAGACATCTCAGGGCACAAAAAGGCACCCGTGCTCTGCCAAGCTGGCAAATTGTCATTTGTCCTGGCATCAAAACCCTCTCTTTTACAGGGGAGGTGGGCTGGTTTGGGCTGGGATAGAGTTAATTTTCTTCACAGTAGCTGGCATGGGGCTATGTTTTGAGCAGGAACAAGGGGTTATACCAGATGTCCCGAGTGGGGACAGCCCAAAACTACATAAGCCAAGTGGGGCAGGAGCAAAACTGCCTCCAGTCACCTCGAGTGGGAATCCGGCAAAGCTGCAGCTGATAGAAAGTTGACGAACCCTGGAGGCAGGAGAAAAAGCGGGTCACAAGCGGTGTTCCCCAGGGTTCAGTATTGGGGCTGGTTCTGTTTAATATCTTTATCGACAATTTGGACGAGGGGATGGAGTGCTCCCTCAGCAAGTTTGCCGACGATGCCAAGTTGGGAGGGAAGGTTGATCTGCTGGAGGGTAGGAAGGGTCTACAGGGGGATCTGGACAGGCTGGATCGATGGGACGAGGCCAATTGTATGAAGTTCAACAAGTGCCGGGTCCTGCGCTTGGGTCACAACAAATCCATGTAACGCTACAGGTTTGGGGAAGAGCGGCTGGAAAGCTGCCTGGCAGAAGAAGACCTGGGGCTGTTGGTCGACAGCCGGCTGAATATGAGCCAGCAGTGTGCCCAGGTGGCCAAGACGGCCAACGGCATCCTGGCCTGTATCAGAAATGGTGTGGCCAGCAGGAGCAGGGAGGTGGTTGTCCCCCTGTACTGGGCACCGGTGAGGTGACACCTCGAGTCCTGGGTTCGGTTTTGGGCCCCTCGCTACGGGAAAGATGTTGAGGTGCTGGAGCGTGTCCAGAGAAGGGCAACCAAGGTGGTGAAGGGTCTGGAGAACGAGGAGAAGGGTCTGGAGAACTTGTCAGGAGCGGCTGAGGGAACTGGGGTGGTTTAGTTTGGAGAAGAGGAGGCTGCGGGGAGACCTGATCGCTCTCTACAACTACCCGAAAGGAGGGTGTAGCGAGGTGGGTGCTGGTCTCTACTATTAAGTAACTAGGGACAGGAGGAGAGAAAACAGCCTCAAGTTGCACCAGGGGAGGTTTAGGTTGGATATTAGAAAAAAATTCTTTACTGGAAGGGTTGTCAGGCGTTGGAACAGGCTGCCCAGGGAAGGGTGGAGTCACCATCCCTGGAGGGGTTCAAAAAGCGCGTAGACAAGGCACTTCAAGACGTGGTTTAGCGCGCATGGTTGCCGGTTGGACTCAATGATCTTGAAGGTCTTTTCCAACCTAAATGAGTCTATGATTCTACAAAGTGCAAAGATGCTAAAAAGCCACGTACAAACCTTTTTTTGGAGCTCGAGGGTGAGAGAGAGCAGCTGGGTGGGGGCCTGGCAGCCAGCCAAGGTCAACCCAGCACAGTTGCTGAAGGTGTTTCTTTGGTAGTGCTAGTTCAGAGTCAGCCCGTGGCTCTATCTTGGGGGCAGATCAAATTCTTTGGAAATGAACCTGTGAGAGACCACACGAGTGTCACGGACACAGTCCTGTACGCGGGCAGAGTGGAAAAGACACCCTCGGCAACCCGAGCGTGCCAGCCAAAGCTGTGAACAGGCACGCTTACAGCCCTGGGCAGGTTTTTATTCATCCAGCCCATGCAGCTGCAGGAAGAGGTGGGAGCTCTGCCGGCAGACAAACAGCCCTTCGCCAGCAGCGTGTGGGGAGCTCCAGTGACTGCCGGCTACCGGAGGTGCCCGGGCTGTGGCGGCCGTGGTGCTCGATGGCCTCAAGGGGACACGTCCCCGTGCAGCCCCATGTCACAAAGGGGCAGTGATGCGGCACCTGCCCGGCGCTTGTGAGCACACCTGGCCAGGTCTTGGGATCCTGAAAAGCAGGCCAGCAAAAGCCAGTTGGGCTGAGCTGGCCTTCGGGATAAGTCAGCTCCTTCCTTCGCTACTTGCGTGCCTACATTTTTCCAACCATTTATCATTTACTGCTCAATTCTCAACTTCCATCCTCTTTCAAAGGTAATTATGATTTGACTTTCAGGACAGATCATAGAGTAGGTAGATACGGGATAAAAGTATAGGCTGGGCTATACCTTCCGAGCCGTAGGCTGAGCTATTGCACCTTGATAGGCTGGCCAGAGGTGGGCTACGGGCAGAGTTCCTGTTTGCTAATTATTATTTCTTTATTATATCCTAGGATAGGTAAGTAGAGGGGGTGGTAGTGTAGTCCGAGGCGCTGGGCTCAGCCTAGAACGGCAAGAAGCCCACCGCGACAGATGCGGTAGGAAAGGAGACAGAAAAGGAGCATGGCAAAGGCAGATGTTAAAGTAGCGGCCGAAAGTTTTTTTAATCATTTTGTTGAGCTATGATTATTTGTTTGCCATCAGGTGACGGGATTTGCGCCGGTCTTGTCTTTCCGGAGCGTGTCCTGAGATCCTTTGTCATCCCGAGCTTTGCCCTCTGTTCCTGAGAGGAGCGATGGCTGCAATGGGGAACGACTCCCGTAAGTAACGGCTGCGCCAGCAGGCTTGGGCTTTGTGAATCCCCAAAGGCAACGGACGTGGCTGGTGCTCCATCCCTGAATGTGCTGACAACCTAGAGGGAATTCTGGGGCATTTCCTGATAGCACCCAGACTTACCCAGGTGTTTTCAAACAGGGAGACGCGTTTTTTGTCACTGCTCTGCCACTGTGTACAGTCTTCGAAAGAAGACATTGCTCGTAGAAAGATCTGACATTAGTAGGGTTACCTTCTGGGCTAGGTACTCGCTTGTTTTCCTGAAATTATAGGAAAATGGAAGACTTGATACTGAAGTTCAAGACTCTAGAGGGAAAGGAAGGTAGAAGTCAAGAGTGTGGGTTTGTTGGACTTTAGGGAAAGCAAGCAGCGCAACACGTTGTTTTCCAAAACTCTTTCTTGACCATAAAAATTTCGATGGCAGTGTTAGGCTTCCCCTGATGCTTCCAGGTTGGATGTTTAAGCTGGTTGTACTGGGTCCTCCTGTCGAGAACTCAAATTTTTCCATGTGCTTCCGTGCAACAATATTGTCTCATCTCTTTTCAAATGTCATTTCCCTGCAGTCATTGCCAAGGAAATGGCTCCACAACAAAGGATCCTCTTTCCCCCGGAGAAGATTTGCATGGATTGGCAGCAAAGACAGAGAGCTGGAGCAGGACTGCACAACCTGGGCAATACGTGCTTCGTCAACTCCGTCCTGCAGTGCCTGACGTACACAGCCCCTCTGGCCAACTACCTGCTCTCTCGTGAGCACAGCCAGTCGTGTGAGTACTTTTAGGAACGTCTCCTTGTAAATCTGTCAGGCACTTCCCGAGGATTCCAAGAATCTGGAATTTAAGAGAAAAAAAGCAGCCCTTCTTTGCCAAGGCCCCGAGTTGGTCTTCTTTGAACACTCAAGCCTAGAAGGCACTTGTCATATCTAGCTGTGTTCATCTTCAGAAGGGCACCCCTTTCTAGCCCCAGGTCTTGGTCCCTATTCCTGCAGGTTAAACCCTCTTTGCTTATTGCACAGAAATATTCTGTCAGTTTAACATCCCTCTGAAGAAAGTTTTCTCTGCACTAAAATGTCCTGGGCTTGTTGGGATGCTGTCACCTTGGGAGGAGTGGAGACTGTTCTTAGAACTTCAAAATCCCCACTAGGTTTCCCATCGCTGTGGATGTTTTGCTCACCTAAGGCTCTTGCTTCCCTCCTTTCCTCTTCAGGTCGCCAGCAAGGCTTCTGCGTGATGTGTAGAATGGAAAACCACGTTAACAAGGTCCTGCATTCCTCTGTCAGTGCCATCTACCCTTCAGCTGTCATCAGTGTTCTCACACGTGAGTCATTTCAGGGGCTTGGACGAGTTTTCTTCTGTTCTTGTAGGAGGAAGCTACTAACTTCTTCTTTTTTAGTAATAGGAGAACATTTCCGGCTTGGCATGCAGGAGGATGCCCACGAGTTCTTACGTTACACTGTTGATGCCATGCAGAGAGCTTGTCTGAGCGGAATCAGCAAGTAAGCACAAGCAAATTAATTTTGCAATGTTCCCAAGCCCTTCGGACTCCTTGGTGTAGTGCCATCAAGGAAAAACTATGCCCAGGGCTTTCACACAAAGCAAAACTCCTGGAGGAGATGATAATAACTCTCTGCCTTACCATTTATTTCCAGCTTGGACATCTCTTCTCAAGCAACTACCATCATCCATCAAATATTTGGGGGCTTTCTGAGATCCAGAGGTACTTTTCCGCAACTATTGCTCAACTTGGAATTGTCTGTGCCCTTCTGTTGGCCTGTGATAAACAGCCGATCGTGTGACTGGCGTAGTAGGTATGAAGGACGGAAACTGGCACAGCCAGTGACTTCCCCTGTCGCTGAGCATTTTGATTTGCCTTCCAGTCACGTGCTTGAGCTGCAAAGCAGTTTCCGATTCCTACGAGGCTTTCCTGGATGTCCCTTTGGATATAAAAGTAAGAGGGTTTATAGCTGTGCTTCAAGACATCCCAAGGGCCCTGTGGCTTTCCGGAATCCATGCGGTTGACTTTAAAACGTATACTGCGAACACAAGAGAGCTTGGTGGAGGGCTGGAAGTGGAATGGGCTGAGTTCTTCTGGGGAGGCCATGGCAGTGGTCTCCTTGTAGGTGCTGGCTTTAAGCTGGACAAGTATGAATTATCCTCTCTGCACCCTTGACGTACTCTCATCCTTCTTCCTTTTGCCCTCCCTCAGCACCCCATCTGGCTCCCAGGCTGATGGGTTGTATTGTTTTCATTATTGATGACCCTGCAGTGCCACAGGGAAGTAGCTCTTGATAGCCCCGGGAATCCCTCAGGAATTCAGTTCCCTGAGGGAAATGTTCAGCATCATACCTCTTTCTGCCTCCTTCTGGACACTGCTTGCGGGTTCACAGTGCATCTCCTCAGCATCAGCTACCTGGGTCTTCTTGTCAAGTCCTAGTAAGTGTTTGGGCAAGGGCATTGCCTGCAGCTCACTGCTCTCCTTTCTCACTCCTCCAGGCAGCCTCTTCTGTCACTGCAGCTCTGGAGGACTTTGTGAAACCGGAGCAGCTGGATGGTGAAAACTGCTTTCAATGTAGCAAGTAAGATGATTATTAACAATATTAGATCCTGTGTGAAGGTGCTGCGCATACTCTAGCATAAGCCATCTTTTCGCATAGGTTAGATGCGCAATAATCAGGCACAGATATTTTAATATGGCTTTATGCATCTGAGCAGCCTTAAAACAGCGTAGGGGTGTGGGAGACATAAAAGGGTGTCTGGCCTTTTTGCGGCAAGATAGGGCATATACGAAGGCTCTGTGCTCGGTTTCAAGGTGTAACAAGATGGTCGCCGCCTCCAAGAGGTTTACAATCCATCGCGCGCCCAAGGTCCTCACGGTGTGCCTGAAAAGGTTCGAAGATTTCACCGGCGGGAAGATCAACAAGGTGCGTATGCAACCGGAGGGCGATGTTTTTTCTTCCCGGAGCGGGATATTTCCCAAAGCGGTCCGCTCTTTCACAAGCTGTTGAGTTTTTTCGTGTTCCCTTCCAAGGAGAGGAGAGTTCTGGTGGGAAGACAAGGACGTACTCTGCTCTGCTTTGGCCGAGAATAGTTTCCTGCCACCCAAACCATTACCTTTAGGTTGCTTTAGGGAAAAACCAAGTGTTCGTGAGCCCCAAAGATGTATTTCTACACCTCTAGCCCCTGGTCTTGGAGGGATATTTCGTGTAGTATTTCAGGATCATTTCTGAGCACTCCTGGTCTCTCCATAGGTCGTGAAGTATTCCAACTGCTTGGATCTTCGCCCGTACATGTCTCAGACAGATGGAGAATCGCTCTTCTACTCTTTATACGCTGTCCTGGTGCATAGCGGTAACGGGTGTCATTCAGGACACTATTTCTGCTACACAAAGGTAAAGAGAAACTTCCTTCCATGCCAAGAGAAAAAGGAAGACAAACTTTCACGGTAGTGATACCGGCAGCCAAGGATTTGGGGGAGAAGGTCTCCTTAGAGGCTCGGTTGGGTTTGTTTTGGCAGTTCTGGAGTTTTTCTGCCTGCGTTTTTGTGGAGAAACCATGCAGTTCGTCTCCTGATGAACAATGATTCATATCGTTGCCTTTTTTTTTTTTACAGGCCAGCAATGGACTGTGGTACGAGATGAACGATTCATCTGTGGATCCTTGTGACATCAGCACGGTCCTCCAGCAGCAAGCCTATTTGCTGTTTTACGTCAGGTAATAACAGGAGAGTAAGGAAAAGTCGGGAAGGGACATTTTACGAGGGATTGTAGTGATAGGACTAGGGGGAGACGGTTTTAAACTGAAAGAGGGTAGGTTTAGGTTAGCTGTTAGGAAGAAATTCTTTACGGTGAGGGTGGTGAGACACTGGAAGAGGTTGCCCAGAGCAGTTGTGGATGTTCCTTCCCTGGAATTGTCCAAGGCCAGGTTGGATGGGGCTTTGAACAACCTGCCCATGGCAGGGGAGGTGGAACGAGATGATCTTTAAGGTCCCTTCCAACCCAAACCATTCTAGGATTCTATGATTCTATGAAACGGAGGCTGTAGGGAATAGAATAGAAAGATGGGTTCTTGCTCCGACAAGGGCAGACCTGGTGGGAAGACCCCAACCAAATTTCAAATTTGTAGGTTTGGTAGACGTCTTCTCTCTCTCATAGAAACCGCTCCAAGAAAATGGCTGGACCCCAGGGAAAGCTGCAAGAACAGCCCTAAATAGAAATCACTCTTTTTTTTTTTATCTCCAGGAGCTCTGATTTAAGGGGAGGAAGGCCTTCTTCCCCACAGATACCATCACATGCCCGTGCCTTCCTCAGTCAGTGGGCAGCCGGCAGCAAGCAGGTAGATCCTGTGGGACCACGGGGTCTTCTTCCTAGGACTAAGGTAACTCTGGGGAGATGGATCAGGGCACCAGCTGGACAGTGGATTTCTTTCCGGGATGTCGGCATCGTTCTCTTTTCCCTCCCACGCTTCAGCTTTCTTCACAGCTGCAACACTGCTCCCTCTCAAAGCATCCCCCCTCCAGCCACCCCATTTGTCCGCCTTTGGGCCTTCTGCCTTTGCAGCCCTCCAGGAGAGCCTTTGGGAGGCCCTTAGCTGTCCCCTCCCACAGCTTCTGAGGTTTCCCCACTGTTCAGGTCCTTTCAGCAGGAAAGGGCAGGACATTTGCACAGCTCTCTTTGCAGGACATGGCGGTGGGCATGGAGGACTCTCCAGAGGACAGCAGCCTCTCTGCACCAGCCAGCACCAGCCAGCTAACCCGGGCACGTGCACAGGAGGCATCTGCAGGCTGGCCAGGCAGGCTCAGCATCACCTCCCACGTGGGCTCCTGCTTGCATCGCTTCTTCTGCAGCTGCCTAAGGCTGGTGTCCAGAAGGAAAGCTGCGTGCCTGGTCCGCTCTCCACCATTTGCCCCTCTGCACACCATGCAAGAAGACAGCAACAAAGAGGAGCATGGATTCAGCCCTTCTTCCCGCTGCCAGAGGAACGGTGCCAGGGAGAGGGCCCGGAGCAGATCCCTGCAGTGGGGAAGAGATGTCCGCAGCTGGTTGGTGGACACCACAGACTATGACCACTCAAGAGGGAGGAGGAGGAGGAGGAGAAGTAGTCCTCCAAGTTGTGATCACACTCCCAGGGATGATGCTGCTCCAGGGCCCTCCAACGGCAGCTCCCAGTCGGCTCCTGCACCCAGTGCTGCTCGGGAGCAAATAATACTGCGGGAGAGAGAGCGGAGCAGATCCCCACCGCAGGGTTATAATCTCCGCAGCCGGTTCGTGGAGTACACGGACCACCATCGCTCAGCGAGGAGGAGGAGAACTAGCCCTCCAAGTCACAAACAAACCCTCAGGGATGACTTAGCTCCGTGGACCTCCAGCTCCAAGCGGGATCCCGCATCCCGGACTGCCGGGGAGCAAACTCAGCTGCGGGAAAGAGAGCGGAGCCGATCCCCACCGCAGGGTTATAATCTCCGCAGCCGGTTCGTGGAGTACACGGACCACCATCGCTCCGCAAGAGGAGGAGGAGATGCTAGAAGAAGTCCTCCACATCGTAAGCGAGTCCCAAGGGACGATGCGGCTCCAGGATCCTCCAGTGCCCGCTCCAAGCAGGCTCCGGCACCCAGGGCTGCTCAGGACCGAATTCTGCCGAGGCGGAGAGAGCGAAGCAGATCCCGGCGGCAGGGTTACGATCTCCGCAGCCGGTTTGTGGACACCGCAAACTATGACCCCTCATCAGGGAGGAGGAGGAGGGCTTCCCGGATGAGGGAGAAGCACAACATCTAACTTCTGCAATGCTGGAGAGGAGGAAGAGGAGGAAGAAGAATCCATGAAGTACCAAAGCAAGGACCAAGCTGCACAAAGGACACCAGCAGCCCACCCTCTCCCTCCTCCCAGTGCTGCTGGCCAGGAAAATCTCAGAATTTCCAGAGATTCGGACAACTCTGCCAGCTGGTCCGCTCTGCCCACAGGTCCCTCGAGGAAGAGCTTCTATTTGTTTTCTGGTTTTGGGATCACCCTGCAAAAACAACACTCGGTTAGAGCCAAGAGGCAGAAAAGCCAAAGCCAGAATTAAAAACATTTGTTGGCCTTGCATGTGTAATTTATGGGGTGTTTCCTTCTCTGTAGGTTTTGGGGCAATTGGTGGAAATACCCAGTTGGAGAAGTTTCTGTTATAGGATTTTGAAAGCAGTGTGCTTGCATGTGCCCATCTTGCCATCTTTTCTTTTTAAATGTGGAGCTCAAGTCACTGGAATGGAAATGGGCTGGATGAGCCAACAGC